ATGTATATAAAGATTATGTGTACAAAGTTCATATGCAAAAACTGTGTAGGCACACTGAGCCTTTAAAAAAGCACTGTTCTTGGGTTTGTTCAGACTAAGATTTTTGTTCCTGCTTGAGTTCAAATAGTTAGCAGTACTAGTCTGTGCCCTGATGGAAACCACAAGTGTTTGTGTCCTGCAGTGCTCAGATTAACATTTGCTGGGTATTCATTGACATGAATTAATTGGCAATTAGCTAACTCAGTTAGGAATAATATTTCTCTCTAGACATTGCTTTAATTGCTCATCCAGCCAAAATAGTACCAACCAGACCAGGGCTTTCTGCTTAAACATTGGACAGGATGAGTTCTTTGACAATGCGCTCTGTTGTGAAATGAGCAGCAAGCAATGAGAGCCATGCAAATGGTCTGGAATCAGGGCCTTGTTTCCCTGTGACAGAAGTACAGGCTGGACACTGGGTTGGTTTTATTTCGGAAGAAAATGAAAAGCTGTCTTTTTCCAGTGCAAAAATTACATATATTGAAACTGGCAAATACAGTTCTTGGAGTAGTTACAGGCTTTATGATTAAAAATGAATTACTTGTGTTTAACATTTCTGAAAGACTGTGGGAATGTTATTTGTTAACACAGTGTATACCATGAGTGTTACATTCAAATAACGGTGTTATTTTATGGCTTATTAGTCTCTCTCAAAATGATGGTTGGATTCAGACTGGTATCTTTGGCAAACTCTATCTTTTGTTAGGATTGAAAAACAGATCTCTCCTGCTTTCAGATCACAGTTTTCTGTAATGAAGAACCAAGTTTTAGGTCTCATAATGGGGTTCATTAGCAAGGCATCCCTGTCCCCAGTTGTGTTCCCTTGTGCTGCTATTCACACTGCTGTGGAATGCCTATGAAATAGCATCAGTTCCAACCTGTTTCTGTTTTGCTTAGTATGTGTTAGAGGAAATTCCCACCACAACCTAAGGCAGAACTACATCAGGCTTTTCTGAAATCCTGTCCTTGGCTAAGAAGACACAGTGCTGATTGCCAAGGGGATGGCTGTGTGCTCATCTGTGGAAGGGAAGCTTGTGTCTTCATCCCTGCAACATACACTTCTTGGGTAAAAAAGTGATTCTGTATTCACTGCTTCAGAGTGGGCTGTCCACCTGTATAACAGGCCTAAATATTTCCCTTTCTTATCACGTAAGCTTCTGTCCTTTTCAGGAAAGCTCTGTGTGTCTTTACGCATCCACACAGTGGGACTTCCTAGCAAAAAACAGCATGAGCATGGCTGTCAGCAGGTCAGCACTGTGCTCAGATGTGGCAGGCCTGCAAGCTTCCCTGTGCTCTGGTGCTCTTCCTTGTGTGCCATCTTTCCTTTGTGTCATCTGGAGTTCCTGTTGCTCAGTGGTTTTCAGCTTGTGGCTTTTAATTATAAATCAAAAGACAATGTTAGCTTACACATCTCCTTGCTTTTCAGTGTGTACTTTTTTTCTTCTTTACTCCTCAGCCTGAAATTATGAGGCAGTTTCTTGTGCAGTTAAGTGGCTAAGGTCTGAAGCAGCTCAATGTTCACAGCTCCTAAGACAAAGCACCCTGCTCGCTGCCTTGGCAGACTTGCCTTAAGCCATGCCAAAGCAAAGTATCATCCTAGCAGCCTTGGTTGTTCTCTGAGGGGACCACACAGGTACTTCTGCTGGTGGAACGTGTAGATAAGCTGTGTGAGTACACACCTCACCTGTTGACACATCTGTATGGGAAGTTTGCTATAGACTTGAGGTACTCATTAGCAGCCGTGTATGCAGCCAAAGGAGAACTGAAAAATCATCAGCCCTGCAAATAGCAGCTCAACCACTTGTCTCTGAACTTGCATTGGTTTTTGTTTTTTTTTGCATTTCAACAACAGCTCAGCAATTATGTAGCTCAACTTATGTAGTTGCTCCTTGACTCTTCAAAGATATGTCATTACACTGATACGTATATATCCTCAACATTTGATGTTATATATGCCAGTAAAAGGGCATCCTAAGCATCAGAAGCCCCCAGGAGTTCAAATGACCATCACTCATCTGTGAGCAGTATCTCAGTAGACTGGAACTGCCAGGACCAGAACTGAAGTCCAGGGCACAAATTCTTCCTTGCCCAAGCTCATTTAAGGTTTACTCTTAGTAGCAGGAGGACCATAGCCTGTGTATAAGGTGGTCTAGTGAAAGGTTTTTATTTGGCTCCATTGGCATGCATATGTCAAAAGGAAGAAGTAAGCAGGGAGGCACAAGCAGAGTGACAGGTTTTATTTTTATCCTGAAATTACATTCACTGGATTTTGGATACTGAAAAGTGCTGTCTTGGACTGTTTGAAGGGTTGTCTTAGAATTCCTTACCTACAAAGCAGGCAGCAGAGATAGTGTATTTTTTTCTCTCAATTTTTAACAGAAATAAGGAAAGAAAGGAAAAATACATTAGATCGTGCATTCTCTCATTCTGTTCTTTGGCATCCTGCTGTAAATCAGGAATGACCTCTCAAGACTGATGAAATTAAATCAATGTAAAATCATTGGGACAGCATCGGTATGGTTTTATAAGGTGTCTAAAGTCTTCTAATTGTTGACGAAGCGTGTTATCAGAGTAAACAGAATGGTTTGATCTTATTTTCTGAGTTTCTGTGGCGGGTTAGTAGCAAGAAAGGCAGATGACACTGTGAAGATTGCCTGTGTGGTTTGATAGTATCTCAGAGGTTTGTGGTAGCTGTGACTCAATGACAAAATGCTTCAGTGAGGGCAAGGGTAAAAAGGGCTACAGATAGCTGAGTGCAGTGAGACAGGAGTCTTGATTTGGGAAGAGGAACATTTAGAACCAAATCTTGAAGTGTGGTATTCCAAAAGCCTGTACGCTTTCTTAAGGTTGGGGGACCAGTTACAGGAAGCAGCTGTTTGTCACCTTCAGTGACCTCTCAAAAGAATGACTGTAGAACACTCTACTGCAGCACTGAGTCACATATCCTAGAGTCTGGATGTGAAGGGCTGAGCTACAAGTTTTGCAAAGAATTAGAAACATAAGGGCAGGGAATTTGGAGTTATGCAGAAAGTGTGGTTTGTGTTGGAAGCAGAACAAAGGAATGGGCATGGACTGAAGCACTGTGAGCTCACAATAGAGGGGTGCCAACAGTAAATGCCCAAATGGGGCAAAGCCAAAGCAAAGCTGCAGAAGGGAGGCTGCAACTGCTCTGAGCGGTGAGCACAGAGCCTGTGGTGCTAAGGATGATGTCATACATATATTGAGTAGACAAAATTCAGCTGTAATGGTGAAGATTGGCTGGATATCACAGCATCTTTCCCCAGCTGTGCTCATCTGTTGCTTCAGGCAGAGGAAAGGCTGTTGCCATACACAGCTTCAAATGGGTTTGTCAGTGTGCTGTGTCCTTAATTCTTAATACTTGTTCGTATAGTGGCAGAAGATGAGGATATCAGCATTTAAGCAACTAAGAGCAGAAAATTACATGAGTGGAAATATCCAGAAAACTTGAGCACAACATAACAAAAGAGAGGACGGGAAGTAAATTGGAAAGTTATTCCTTGGCATAACAACCTGTGGTTAATGGTTCAGCATCAGTGATTAACTGAAGCAAGAAGATGAACAAGTGTCTGTAGGAGATGGCTGGAGCCGCTGATGAAACTCCAAATCTTTGGGGACAGTTTAAAGTAAGGTAGTGGTCTACATATTTAACCCCTCAAAGTGTGGAGTCCTATGGTTGTTGTTTCTCTGGGCTGCAGATCTGTTGTGTGCACTTTACAGATAAAGCAATGTCTTTAGCTTTGACATTTGGGACAGAGAATGAAGTCAGGATCTTAATGCCACCCAGCCTAGGAGCTGCAAGCCAAGCTGAACTTTTTCTTTCTGTGCAACATCATTGCTCATAAATGCTCTGTGAAGCCCAGCAGATCTTACTGACGCCAGCGAAGTGCCATTTCTCCCTTGAGTTTTAACTGAATTAAATTAAATGACAGTTTGGCACATTGTGGAGTGGACTGAATCCAGCCTATTAGGTGTGGTGCTGCATGACCATGTTTGACAAGAGTAAGAGCTGAAGTAAAACATCTCACTTGAATAGGCTTACAAAGTAATGATTTTCAGGGTAGAAGTGTTTTGATGAAGGTGATTTGGGATCTCGGGAGACCATGTTTAACTTGCTCATGAGGGATCTCTTGATGTACTTTTATGTGAATCAGGAGATTCAGATCAAAGTTCTGCAGGCAGCAATATTTTGTTACTTACCTCTTTTTTTCCATTCTTAGAGTTCTACTCCATAGTTTTTGATAACTCAGACATTCTGATCTGACTTCGTGATGGGAATACTCATAACTTTTTCCAAATACAGCCATTCATCTACACCACTAAGTTGTTTGAGATTACAGATATGAACAAGGATATAGTAAATATTAATAAGTAAGAAGAACTTAGTGTTGATCACCATGTACTTTTGTTCCTCCATTCCTCTGTGGTATTGAGCACAGCATGCACTTCATGCAACACAGTAAGTCAAAACAGCAGGAGAAAACTCAAGTGAAGTGCTTTTTTATTGTAACTCTGGAAGGTTTGGGAAGGGCTAAAACTAATGTAGTGGCAATGTGCACACTGCACACACTTGACCATCTTGTTCTGTCGCTTTCTGAGCTTTCAGTGATTCCAGATGTTGCCAAACCTACTGCAGGTAAACTGGCAGAATTTTACTTTGTACTGGTAAACAGTCTTTGAATGGTTGAGAGCTGGAATGTATTTCAACAAAAATCAGATTTGGTGGTTGAAACTGCAGTAGAATTGAGGATGCCAAGTGGTCACAGTGTGGGCTTTAGAGTCTTCATTACCTACAAGACTTCATCTGGTAGGGGGAGAGTCTAATGGAAATTTGTTTGAATATAAGTTGCCAACTTACTGAGTAATGTATTATTAGGAAAAGTCTCAACTGTGGATAGCTCTAACCAGTTCTTTTTTTCTGTTTTGCTCTGTTTCTCCTATAGGGCTTGTGAAGTTGGGGGTTCACTGTGTCACATGTCAGAAGGTTGCGATAAAAATTGTCAACAGAGAGAAGCTCAGCGAGTCGGTGCTAATGAAGGTAATTTTCTAATAGATTTAAAAAAAAAATAAGTTCTTGGCTCTGTGTCTTTTGTTCCATGCAAAATTAATATCTTTAATTATGTTTAACAAACATCCTTGTCAGTACTAGGATTATGTGGAGCATAATAAAAATAATTCAGGTATGGGGGAGGCTAGGGCAGCTGAAATGAAATGGGAGTATATCTGTGCTTGGAGAACAAAATTAGTGGTCAGCTGCAGAGCTGTTGCTTCTCTGCTGGGGTAGCAGTGTGTTGGGCATCATAATTTTCCTGCAGGAGCAGTGCACAGTAGTTGTGGTATGTTGTGGACTGAGGCCTTTACGTGTTATTAAGAAGAGATTTATGTGAGGTTGGCAAAACTGTTGTTTGAATGCACCTCCTGCTCACTCCTGCTGCATATGTTCCTTATCTGATGCACCAAGATCCATGAGTGCTTTAAGCTGTTGCAATTCTATTAATAATCCTCAGAGCTGTGTTATTAGAAACAATCAAGGAGTTCCAATGGTCCCAATGAAGTAGTGTTCACAACAGCTTTGTTCACTTTTACCAAATCCTGTGATATGCATCTCCTTATGCAAGTGTCACTTGACAGATCTTGGAAGTCTAAAAATTAAAAAAAACAAAACAAAACAAGAATTTATTCATGTGATTTGGTGACTAGCAAAGCTAAATTCAGCTTGGGTGGGGGAGCACAACTTCTGCAATCAACAGAATTCCATTAAGTTGTCACCTGCAAAATGTGCTAATGGATCTGCACACAAAATCAAGGTAACTTCCCGGCTAGCACACGCAGCAAAGATCTTTCCCTGCTGCTTTGTCACAAGTAAGTATGGCAACTTATGGAACAGAAAGAAAATGGAGATTAAAGGAATATACAGTCAATGAATGTTAGTGTAAAGTTTATATTCAACTGTAATGTGCTCAGATTTACCCTTCTGGAATTCCATTGAAGTATTCTGTCTCCTGCAGTACTGTACAGTAAAGCAGTCTTCTGGTATAGACCAGAAATTAGGAAGTGAAATAGGTAAGAAAATTTCATCTAACAGTGGAAGAGAAAAATTCTCTTAGATGAGTGGAACACAGTGAAAATGAACAAAGTGTGTAAATGGTAAAATCTAAGTGAGACTCTAAAAACTGAATACTTTCTGGAGTAACACAGTAAGAATACTTTTAAAAAAAAACATGAGTGTGATGTTGGCTGAGAGACTCTCTGTCTGGTATGGTATAAAAGATTTTATTTGCCCCATTGATTTTCAGAGTAGGAGGCAAATCACGTAGCATAGCAAAGTGATCTCTCTGCTTTTGTTTTGTTGTATTACCTCAGTTGTAGTAGAAAATCTGCGTACTGAAGTAATGTGTTAGGCCCTTGTTTACACAGCCGCGTGCTGAAGAGTGCCATGTTTTCTGTAAAATTGTACAACATCCTTCTCAGGAGGAAGCCAGGCGTTGTATCATGATTCTCATTTCAGACCATTCATGGCCAGATTTTCTCTTTCAAGGATTCTGTTCTCTGTACTCAGGAGGCTGGAACAACAGATGGGAGTGAAGTGGTTAGCCCAGTTTTTGCATAAACACGGTAACCAGATGTCTTTTCAGGAATATCCTGTGTCTGTTGGTCAGAGACAGGGCTTGGGACTTCTAAGTGAATTTGGAATTGACTGTACTCCTAGCCAGCGTAATCCAGCCTGGCTGACAGGGGAAAAATGCTTTCAGCTTTCGGCAATCCCAGTGTGAGCATTGCCAAGCAGCCAGCTGACAGCCTGCTGCATGGAGTCAGCAGCCACGGGGAGACAGTTAGCAACAAAGCCAAGTCATGGTGGTGTGGTGGCATTCCTACTTCACAAATCTTCCCACTAGTTTATTGGTTTCAGTGACTCTCTTTGCCAGCAGGCTGTTTAGAACAGGCCCTGGAGCAGAATCAACACCACAGCAGCAATTCCAAGCCAGGCCCAGATTGATGGGTTTTGCTTTAATCTGTCCTTGGACAGAAAAACTGGATCTGACAAATATGCACACCTGCCACATGAAGCTGTAAAACTGCAGTGCTGTGGCCATTTATCCTAGAGCATAAGGAAGAAGTCTGCTCACAGTCCTTTCAACATCAAAAATGACAGGCATGAGCACATGCAGCAGACTGCTTTCTCCTGCCATCATTATTTTGACTTACTTCATACAGCCTTCATTTCTCCAGTGATTTTGCAGTGAGCATTTGTTTTATTCTGTACAGTCAGGGAACTGTCCCTTCTATCTGCAGCTGCTCTTCATCTGAGCTGTGCAAAATTGAGAGGCATTTGGTAAAGTGCTTTCTAATCATAACGTAGTAGTATCAATATTTCTGGAGAGAAGAATTTGGAGTTGAAGCAGCTGGTCTCAATTAACAGAACTGCTGCTATGGAGATGATACATGGGCAGGCAGGCTGCAGCACAGGCTGCAGTAAATGGCTCATCCGTGTGCTTGCAGCCCTCTCAGAGGATGAGGCTGCTTGCTGCACATGCAAGCTGTCTGCTTCAGTGTGTCCTGGCTCGTTCATTGAGGCTGAGGAGTGTTTCCTTCCCGGCTCCAGCTGGGGTCTGCTTAAGAGTGCTGTTTTGGGGCAGAACTACAGATTTTACAGATGAAAACAGAAGTCCTGGTTCTGTTCTCACTGTTGCTTTCACAGAACTGTAAATACTTGGGCTGGGTTTCTTCAGCTGTACTTTGGGTAAGCCTGCTGCTCTGGAGACCTGCCTCCCAAAGGTGCTTTAGCATGCTCTGACACAAATTGGTAGAAAGGCCTCAGAAATGAGTGGATTACAGGGAGTGTGTTGAGATTATGAAGGGCTCATTAATTTCACTGAACTACTCCTACTGCTCTAGGAGAGAAGGAAGTTGGGACCAGAATACACGAGCTAACTGCTCATAGAGCATGCAGGCTCCCTGCTGTTGGTTGCGTTTTAAGTACCAGCACGAGCATTTGGAGTTCTTAACATCTGAATGTGAGAGTTCAACTCAGTCTTTCCTCTGATGTGGCCAAAGCCTGCTTGGAAATGTGCAGAAGTCTGGGAAGGAGGAGTCAAAGAATCTTTCCTCTTCACCACCTCACCAGTTCTCTGCTACTCCCTCCATCCAAAGAATAAGCAGAAAGAAATTGATTATCTTTTGCTGGTCTGTCAGACAAATAATCTTTGGAAAGGCAGTGATAGTAAAAGCAATGGGAGCATAAAGGGGGAAGAGCAAGAAGGGGACAGCTGGCCTTGGACTAATTATTTGAACATGCAGACATCCTGAGAAAGACACAGATGTCCCAGGCTTGATGACTGAAGGCCAGGGCTCCATATGTGTGCTTTGTGCATATGAGCCTTTTGTTTACTCTGACTGAATCCTTCAGTGCCAGCCTTGAAGCCAGGCAGGTATTTCAAGGCTGGGGGATGGGAAGAAAACACAGTCCTTTCTTACTTCTCTTGTGGAGCTGGCTTGGAAGGAGGGTGCTGTGTTCTGGGGAGGTTGGTTGTTTTAGAGCCTTTTGGGTCTGATGAGCTCTACTTCCAAAACTGGCTTTTCAGTCAGAGAGGATCATGCAACCATCAGCATCAGAAATCACTAATTGCCTGAAGCAGTTGAATGGAGGGAGGAGTAGCAGGTTCATTTGTCAGCTTCTTAGAGCAGACAAGATAACTAGTAAAGCACATGTGTAGATAGGTACTACTTTGCACCATATTGGACTTTATTTCCTTCTGCTGTCAGTTATTTTTGCCTCCTTTTTAACCGCTTTTATTTCTCTTTTCTTACCATTCTGTGAATTCTTTTTACTTTGTCTTTCCTCCGTTTGCTGTGGGAAGTCATGCAGAACTGTCACTGTTTTGTTACAAAAACTGCTGAAAGTATAGCATGTCTGGTCAAGGTGTCCATTCTTCAAGGAAAATGTTTTATAAATAGGCAACAGTTCAGAAAAGATCTGAGGGAATAAGCAAACAATCAGAGCTTATGCTTAATGAGAGACTCAGAGGACTCAGTCTAACTAGTTTATCAATTTGAAGGTTAAGAGAGAACTTAGTCATGGTTTGTAAATACTGATAAGGAGAATAGGCGTTTGATAATTGAGGATAACTTCTGCCTTGGGGGCAGAAAGCTTGCTGGAAACTAATACTTGGAAGCTGCAGGTAGACAGATTGAAAGTAGAAATGTTCGGACTGTTTGAGCACTGGAGGAAGTTATTAATTGGAACAAGCAATCAAGAGTTCTGATGAGTTTTTTTCCCTGAAAGAAAGAAAATTAAGCTTTGCATTAAACTGCTCTGTGGTTTCTAAATGCTAGATTTTAGTTCAGCATTGACTGCTGGTCTTGCAGCAGAAAGCACTTGAAAGTGGTTTCCTGATCCATGCTATGCATTTAGAGTGGACTAGATTAATAAAACAACCTCTCTGGCCTCAAAATCCATAAATCTATGAGTTTCTAATCACATACTTGAAATCTATAGAAAGCCACTTAACTCTGTCTGGAGTGTAAAGAGAGAGAGGCTTGTACAACCTATCTGTAGAAGCAGAAATCTAGGCTTCCCCAAGGTAAGTCAAAGAAGGGAATTCTTGAAAGCAACATCTTCTCTTTGAAATACCTCATTTTCACACTTCTAGGATAAATTTTAAGACCATGATATTGGCTGACCTGGCTGTTTTCAACCTGATCTACAGAAATGATTGCCAAAAGATACCAATTTCATCAAGGAGAAGCTAAATCTGAGATGGAGTAGAAATGGACTGAATAGGGCAACTTTGTTTAAATTCAGCTTTGATCACAGTGAAAATAGTTTTTGTGAGGTTACTGAAGTCATATACAACCAGCTCAGATATACGTATGTAAATATCAAATACATTATTTATGTATATATATATGTAGGAATTTCTTCAGTAATCCCTTTCTTTTCTTTAAACTGCAGTATTTCAGTGTCTTACTGTTGATTGCAGAGGAAATTATGTTAAGCTGCTACTGAATTTCTCTTAATACCTCCTTCAATTGGGTACA